TAAACCTCAAGAATATGTAGGATCAAAGTTGAAGATCAGAAAAATATCTACATGAAAAGATAGTTTGATTTAACAAGAATTAGTATGATTCTGTAAAGCAGAAATAAAAATAGATTGTTAAATGAATGTTAAAAAGGAAATATATAATATTGGTGTAAGGACAACAATGTTGTTTTCTGGTGAAGTGAAGGAATAGTTAAAATTTGAGGAAATATAATTACATATCTAATTTTGAAAAAAGAAACGTTAAAATAGATTGTTAAATGAATGTTATAAAGGAAATATATAATATTGGTGTAAGGACAACAATGTTGTTTTCTGATGAAGTGAAGGAACAGTTAAAATTTGAGGAAATATAATTACATTTCTATTTTTGAAAAAAGAAAAGTAAAAAGATTGAAATGGTTCAATAGTTAAGAAAAAATGTGTAAATAAGGCACAAGGTTTAGTTTTTATTTTATACAATGAGGCAAGTCGCCCCCCGCTTTTATATGTTTGTTTGTCTGTTTTTGTTCTTGTTCTCTCTGTTATGATTTAAAAAGAAAGTCATTTATTAAAAATATTTTTCTATCACTCTTTCTGTATCTATTCATTTGTGTATTTTATGCTTTTCAATATACCAATAGAAAGGTTCCAAAAATTTATTTATTTATTTACATTCTTTATGGTCCATCTTACTCACAGGGACTCAAGGCAGATTATACATCATGAGTCAGTACAATCAACAGAATAGAACATTCAATAACCAATGCATTAGGATTTTAGAAGTCTGAAACTACCAGAAAGAAGAGAAGGATAAGTATTCACATGATACATTAAGGGGTACAAAAATTACTTAATGGGATCCTACTTACAATAAGGTATACACAGCAGTATAGACCACAGTTCCAGTCCCAACAGAAATGTGTCAGTGTTTGTTGCAGCAATTCAAGATTTATATGAGATCATAAAAGATGTTTTCAACTTTTTTCTGTATCTATTCATACACATACTCTTTATGTATCTGAAGGACTAACCAATATATTTTCCCATTATCTTTCACAGTTCAAAATGCTGTTATCATTGGATGCATAGTGAACAGTAAAGATGTTGGCTCAGTCTGGGGGCCTACAAAAATTGTGGGGGGAAGGAGCCACCTGGAAATTCCACACCACTGACAAAGTCTAGGATTCTGTAAGCTCTTCAGATGTTTGAGCAGGCTCATTTTCCCTTCACCTTTGCCTTACCCCTCAACTGAAGATGAGGAATTTTAATAATAATTTTTTAAAAAATTAATCCCATCTGGACCAGTTATAATCCTCATTACGCTGGTTTTTAGGTATGTGTTTATTCTGGTTAGTTTACAAAGTCATATTTTTCTGTATACCTGGGAAATCCCCCAAATATATAGACTCCTGCCTTGCCTTTGGATGGCCTCACAGTGCAGCTTTCATTATCCACACAGGAGCCAGCCAGTTTACTATTAGATTTAGTGATTGTTCCAGTATAACAAATGCACAGATATTAAAGTCTTAAAATGGAATTCTGTACACATGTACTTGGAAATAAGTCCCACAGAGTTCACTAGGATTCAGTGCCAGTTATATAGGACTGTCGACTTAGACCCACCCACCCCCCGCCAAGTTACTTTTGTATGTAGCTGTCTCTTGCCTTGAAAACCCTGTAGGATTGCCATAAGACAGTTGCGACTTGACTTAAAAAAACAAAACCCTTTATCCTGAGCTTCTCAGATCTCAGAAGCTAAACAGGGCCAAGCCTGGCAAGTAACAGGAAGGGAGACCTCCAAGGAACACCAGGGCTCAGGATGCAGAGGCGGGCAATCAGGTCACCTCTCTGAAAACTTCCTAGCACCAGTAGGGGTTGCCAGAAGTCACCATGACTTTCAGGCATGTAAGCACATAAACACACATGTGTGCGCACACAAACCCACCAAAAGCAGGAAGAAAAGAAAACCTTCTGGAGATTTCTCTGAATAAGAATGGGTAGACTTAGCATTGTGGGTAAGCATGGTCTTTTTCAGTCATTGTGCTGAGAATCACATGGATTTAGTTCATGTGAAGAGGTCCAGAGCATGAGGATGTCAATAACTTGGTGGGCATGCTAGTTTGTGGCTTATTTGCTAAGTATCCATTGTGTAGTCCATCATGCATTACAACTCTTCAGGCAACCAGTTTCCATTTGATTCCTACTATACAGTAATGGCAAAAAATATATATTGAAAAACTGGTTATCAGAATTCATTCACTAGGATTTAAATGACAGAAATTTCATTCACACAAGTAAATAAATCTATTACTTGAAGTGAAAAGCCATTACCAGTTGGAAACAAACAACAGTAATGGGAGCAGCCAACTGACCTGTAATGTGAATATATAACTTCTATCGTTGGTAACTAACTGTGTGTAGATGCTGTTGTTCTGTTTCAAATATAATCTGGCTCCTGAAAGACAAAAAAAGGAAATATGGATGGTAGGTGAGGAATCTTTATCAGACCAATTATGACTGCTAAGTATGTTTTTTAGTCAGAAGATCAGTCAGTTTCTATTCATCATGCTGTTGCAGAGCTGTGTATTCCACATGCCAAAAGAGGAAAGTAAAACTGTTGTGGCCCATTGAATGTCCTGGAAGGCTGAAATGTCTGCATAATTCCATGCCATGTCCAAGCATCAGGACCGAAAACTCCAAATGCCATTAGGAGCTCTATTTGACACACATAGGCAATCCCTTTCCCCCTCCTCAAGCTACCTACAACTCTGCACGTACTCAAGAGACCCTCCCTGCAGTTGCTTGGCAAATAATCGTTCGCCCATCAATGACCGGCTAGGGCCATCAAGAGACAATAGCCCTAGCCCAATGAGTTAATTATCTTCCATCCAGGTGCCGGTCCCCAGATTTACTAGCTCTCAATATTGAGCAGCCCCCAGCTCTCCTCCCCCTTTCCTTCCACCCAATAGTATGTTTTATGGGACGGACTAACAGGAGGTGTCACAGGGAGATGTCTGGTTGTGGGAAGCAAACCAAGAATCTCCATTCTATCCTCCCAGGCTTGAAGATGACTTAACAGCCCTTTTTGAGGTGGATGCAGGGTCATGTCAGCAAAACATCCCAATATTCCAGGCATTACATTCAATATCCTAATACACTATTCTGAAAAAGAAAAACACTAAAATTCAGATTTATAGTCCTTCATGTTGAGAATAAATATGTGAGGACTGAATGAGTTAGTATATCTAATGAGATAAAAACCCAATATTCCTGTTGAGTCCTGGGGAGGTCTTTGCCCCAAGTGTTGTAATAACTTGTAATTCAGCAGTTTCCCTTTCCATTCTGTTCCTGAAGTTCCTTTGTAATAAAACAGCTACTCTGAGGTTACCCATTGAATGTCCTGGAAGGTTGAAATGTTATCCTACAGGTTTCTCCGTCTTGTGATTCCTGATGTCAGATTTGTGTCCATTTATCCTCTGGTGCAGGATTTGTCTTGTCCTATGCAGAGTATTGCCCAGCAAGGCACTTAGTGTGCGCTGATGAACTATAACTCATAAGTTATAAAAATGGACTATGCAAAGATATGATTAAGGGACTGTACTGCAAGGTGACCCCATATGATGCCAGTTGAGACTGCACCCCTGAGAGAAGAAAAACCTTCCTTTGCGTTGATGTTCCAGTGGCTCTTCAAGGTTACCTGCCCTCTTACCTGATGTGAAATGAACCAGTTCCTTTGTCTGCATAACGCCATGCCATGTCCAAGCATGAGGACAGAAAGCTCCAAACGCCATTAGGAGCTCTATTTAACACACATAAGCAACCCCTTTTCCCCTCCTCCAGCTACCTACAACTCTGCACGTACTCAAGAGACCCTCCCTGCAGTTGCTTGGCAACTAATCGTTCGCCCATCAGTGACCAGCTAGACCATCAAGAGACAATAGCCCTAGCCCAATGAGTCAATTATCCTCCACCCAGGTGCCAGTCCCCAGATTAAGTTACTAGCTCTCAATATTGACCAGCCCCCAGCTCTCCTCCCACTTTCCTTCCACCCAATAGTATGTTTTATGGGACGGACTAACAGGAGGTGTCACAGGGGGATGTGGCCAGCCTAGTCTGGCCCCCCACACCACATTCTAAAAGGTGCTACCCAACCACATGGTCTCTCTCTCTACTACGACCCCTTTGTTGTTCAGTTGCACAGTCGAGTCCGACTCTTTGTGACCCCATGGACCAGATCACACCAGATCACCACAACCCCTATCTAAGCTTTATACCTCTCACATCCAGCTTGCTATTCCATTACCTTCCCTCCATCTTTGACTCTAGGTCTGCGCAGCCAGAGTCCCACGTGTTCCCTGCCGGTTCAGGACACGTGATCCTTATTTTCAATTCCCCCCCCCATTGGAACGTTTCATTCAGCGAGGACAGGTAACTATTGCCCAACCAAC